TCCCTTTCAAAAACCAAACTCTCAAATACACTGTAACACGTTTACCAGCAAGTATTCAAAAACAAATTGGAGTAATTGAAATGGGCTTTCTGTAACACAACCATCAGACTTCATTAAAGGAGGAATGGAGGACTCAACACCAAACAGAGATACTTTAAGCAGTTGTGGACACATAATTCAGCCAGTCTCAGTGGTGAGCATTAAAATCACGTATGAAAATAAAGCACAATTTCCTTGAGTGGAAATGTGCAAAGTCAGTAAACAATCATAAATGCCATTATCTGAAATAGAACCTATTGACTAAAATGTAGAAAAATTAACACATCTACACACTCTCACGACCATGCATTCATAACAACCACATTCATACTTCATAAAATGTCTAGCATTAAAACCAACCTTGGAATATTAATACAAACTTCAAGCACAAGGCAAAGAATACAGTGAAAGCAACTCATGTCTCACACTAGAGTTTCAACACATGATATAAAAATTTAAACCCAGGGAAGTCCATAAATATTATGAAAAAGTAATCTAAAATGCTTTGAATGGTAAAGCCAGCAACAATTATTGGACTTACAACAAGATTATAAAGTTGAGAAAGCACTTATTTAAAAAACAAAGATTCTTAGCACCCCTTGACCACTGATGGCCTCCTGGGGAATAGGGGCTATGGCTTAATTGACATTAACTATTATTAAAATACAATAGAAAGAAAAAGATAAAGAAAAAATAGAAATGCAAGACTGTGCCTCCCTACAATAAGGTGGTTGAATTCAGGAATGTTAGGCACATAACTATGGCTACAATTTAGAGGGTCCACTTCACAGATACCCGTTGGTTGCGAAACTACACATCCACCTTAACTATAACAGCCAGGATACTTAAGAGTCTTCATGGTATGTCAGTGGTTTAAGGTTCTTATAGTGGTTATTTCACTATCTTTGTTGTGCGTATGTGTGTATGGTGTACGTATGAGTAAGAGTGGTTCATTTGGTTCGCCTCCACCCGTTCGAACCGCATATTCGGACTGAAACCCGCCACGTAACCATAGTCGGTGGTTGCCATTCTATGGTTGGTCACTCTATTCCGAGCTCCACACCTGAACACATTCCTCCATTTCATGTGTTCTTATTCGAGCGTTGCTGTTGATAGCTGCAGCCCGCTCCACCAGTGCTACCCTGGGCTTGAACCCCGGGAGATTACATAACTCAACCTGGCCACCTCACTTCGTTCCGCCGACTCTACACCTGTTATACGGACGGAGCTTACACTTAAACCGATCACGGATTTACTTTGTATATGTGTGGAATATTTGTGTATATATAGATGTTTAATATAACTGGTGAAAGTGAAATATTTGTTTATTCTGCCCTGATAATCTATTCCCAGAGGATAAAGAGGTTAATTGCACATAATAACTGGTAAAAGCAAAGAAACCACGGACATGGTATATAAGCACTTATAGGCGGCTTCTTGAGGGCAAACAATGACTGGTGGAGTTCAAATGCAAAGAATTTAGGGGGACAGTTCCTCCACATCCTGGGTTCTCATATCCCAAACACTCCTTAGTGTTTTGTTTGGTAGACATGATCTAGTGAGTTCAGTTAGTGTGTAGATGTGCCATGTCCCACCCTCTCTCTCCCTCCCTCCCCCTCCCCCCCTCCCTCTCTCTCTCTTTTCCTTTCCCTTTCCCTCCCTCCCCCTCTTCCTCTCCATCCCTCTCTCCCTGTTTTTCCCAACTATATTACCTGTATAGTTGTCACAGAGAAGTTATAAGTGAGAGTGGAACCCTTATTGAGTCCCTTTTCGTGGTCAGCGTCGGCACACTCCTCGGCTGCATCAAGGACAATCCAGTGTAGTGTGTACAGGAGTTTGGTCTCAGCCGCGCCGAGGTTCGTGATGGTCGATTCACGTCTGAAAGGTGATCATACTCCCATTAAGAGGATCATCCTAAGGTTATGCTTGTAACAAGAGGATCCTAAGTTTTCTTTATTGAAAGGATCCTATGGTTATTATTTCTTAAACTGAGAGGGCTTTAAGTTTGAAAAAGATGAAAAAGATTCTAGGGATATTATTTTATATATATTTATTATCAAAGGGATACTTCCTATGGTGAAAAGTAATAAGAAGAATAAGAATAAGAATGAGAGAAAAAAATCAAAGTAACTGTATCCAAATGTTTACAGGAAAAGGAATTGTTGTTGATTGTAACACTATTAAAAAAAAAAAAAAGTGTATTTGTAATTTCAAGGTGAGAAGATAGATGTATAAATATTGATAATAATGCTGACGATCATGACACTTGAATACAAAAAACAACAATGATAATAGTAATATAATGATGCAAATATAATAGTAATAACGATAACATATTAATGATTACTATAATAGTAAGGATGATGGCGATGATGATAATAATAATAATTAAATAATAACAATAATAAAAATAATACCACCACTATCGTCACTGATCATTATATGTGATGATACCCTGGTT